AGATATGCGCATGCGTGAGCAGCCGGTTTCAGGCGTGCAGTATGGATTAAAGAAAACATGCATAACATAGCTTGCTTAGAGAAGAGGGTGGATGACATGGGGGGCTGAGGACCAATAAAAAAGCGCGCAAGGAATATAGCTAAGAGCGGTAAAAAGGGCTGACCGAGTGAAACGGGAGCCGAGGGAAGACGGAGGGACTAGAGCAGTTTTTGCACCCTACAGCTAGGGCGCTTCCTAATTATAAACAGAGGTGGTATTGACAACGATTTGTTAATACATCTCTGGCTTGGAAATCCCCTCTCGTCTCTGCTCTCTCTCTTTCTCTCTCTTTTAAATGCATACCTGTTAAACCTGAGGCACCCTCATAATTGTTTAATCGACATTTGCCGGTTTAATACTGTATATAGATAGTTGTTCTATCAGTTGGTAACATTTCTTTTAGTGGCAAAAGCTCGATTCGTGTTTTACGTGATATTAATCTACAGTACATGTGCCCTGCAGCACCGATTGAAGGTAGCATGCAGGCTTTGTGCTTCACGTGTTTTAACATACTTCGTTTTATCAGGCGGTAAGGTCACTGTCGTGTGTTGGGTTACCAGGAGAACACTACTCTTGGCAATAAGGAAAACGCAAGGAACACTAACAGTCCGTGCGCGTGGTTATATTCGTGGATGAGTCGTAAGGACGCGTCCCTATCTGTGACCACATTTACGTTTGGCTCTATTGATAAGTTAAGTGCAAATTGACAAAGTTCATAAAAAAACCATAGTTACCCGGTTATGAATAACTTTCAGCTCGATTGGCCGTCATTATTTTGATATAGTGCGTCAGAAAGATATAAAAATAAAAGAATTACTGTCTCACCTTTAGGGAAGGAGGAACTTCGCATAGGGCAGTAATTGTAAATAAAATAAAATTCAATAATTTGTTTTGCAAGGTAATTATAAGCATAATATTGACACCATTTACGCTAGGTATGAGCACGGTAGATGGACATTTATTGTAAATGTACAGTACCGTCAATTAAGTAGGTATTTCATTACTCTACTGGTAGGACTTTAGCTGACTCGGAGCATTCGTCAAGCACTTTGATCAGTATGCACAATTAATACATTGTACCAATATATATATATATAGATATATTATGCTAGCCCGCCTATGCCTATAAAGCTGATCGTTACAGAATAGGTGCGGCTGTGCATGCAAAATACAAAGACGCGATATAGGTACTTAACGAAGCAATCTGTACATGGACTAGGATTGTCGCTTCATCGTCAGGGTCCATTCGTTCCTCTGTCCCTGCCTACAAAGTGGCAGTATTGTACACGTGTGCTCACACTCAAGAGACACACTCACACGGACAGGCACGAAGACATTCACTGTCCGCGCGAAGGGGTCGTTGTCGTACTCAGCGTACCCAGTATCAGGTACCAGGTAACCTCTAACCTAATACCTTAACCGCAAAACAAACATTAAACAAAAAATACAACGCCCCTAACCCTAACCTAAACACAGGGCACTTATTGCTGAGAAAGATACGTCTGGTATACATATACGTACCTCGGGTACATATATGTAGTACCTGATACGACAACGACCCTCTCAGCTTCACTGTCGTGCTCACATACACAGGCGTGGGAATAAAAAGCACATCACTGTCAAAATTAACACTTCCTGTAATCGCAGTCTTCTAGATTATAATCGTATTACCTGAGACGACCGTTGAATGTGAGCCTACACTTTACAGCGGTTGCCAAAACCTCAATTGTCAAGACCACTCCTGCAGTGAATTGTTTGTCGTCGTGTTATAAAAGTTGTGTCGGAAACCCGGGAAAGTGGAAGTAACTGGCCATCTATCTAGGCGTTAGCATTAACCACCCTGTAGCATATATTTAAAGGGAAACTGAAAGCTTTAAAACATATTCTTCTGACGAAAAAAAACAGAATATTTATATATAGAATAACATAAACGTTTATGATTATATATATAGTATATATATATTATATATAGAGAGAAGAGAGAGAGAGAGAGAAAGAGAGAGAGAGAGAGAGAGAGAGAGAGAGAGAGAGAGAGAGAGAGAGAGAGAGAGAGAAAGAGATAGGGAGCTAGAGAGAAAGCGAGAGATAGAGAGAGAGAGAGAGAGAAAGAAGGAGAGAGAGGAGAGAGCGAGCGAGAGATGAGGGGGGGGAATGGCTGGCTGGAATGGATGGATGGCTGGATGGATAGATGGATGATGGATGGATGGATGGATGGATGATTGGATGGATGGATGGATGAATGGATGGATGATGGATGGATGGATTGGATGGATGATGGATGATGGATGGATGGTATGGATGATGGAGATGGATGCGATGGATGGATGGATGGATGGATGGATGGATGGATGATGATGGATGGATGGATGAATGGATGGATGGATGGATAGATGATGGATTAGATAGATAAGATATATTAGTAAATTAATTTATTAAATTTATTGATAGATAGATAGATAGATTAGATAGATAATAATAGATAGCTAGATAGATATACAGATAGATAGATAGATATAATATATATAGATAGATAGGATAGATAAATATATAGATAGATAGATAGATGGATAGATAGATAGATGATAGATAGATAGATAGATAGATAGATAGATAGATAGATAGATCAGATAGATAATAGATATGATAGATAGGTAGATAGATAGGCAGATTGATAGATATAGTCAGATAGATGGACAGACGACGACGGACGGACCGACCGACCGACCGACCGACGGATCGACCGACCGATAGATAGACAGACAGACAGATAGATTTAGATATATCATGTACCTCAGCAGTTCTGTCATGAAGACGAGTTATTCGCGCCACCAATCTGTTGCCGCTCGTGTCCAATCCATTGATAGACACGCAATCAAACGCCTAAAAATCATTAATATAATTTGCTCCATAAACCTTTCAAGAGAACGATTAAAACTACTCTTCCAACCAACATATTACACGTTACATAATACGACCCACACATACCAAGCTAGTGAGTTCGATCCCCTCCTCACTTATCCACTCAAGGGGGGAATTTTAAAACCAGACGTGTGCGTTACCTAGGAACTCAGTGTATAATAAATTTATGCACTCAAAAACTCACCACCAACACAAACTCACAAGCACGCACACGCTCACACTCCGCTTGTACGCACTGTCACACGCTGGGAAGTACACGCGCCCGCAGATTTATATAGGACTATGAACTAATAATTAAAAAACATAAATACAGTGTATGATAGATAGTTAGCAAGTATATATATATTAATAGTATTATAATACTATATATATTATCTATATAGTATACGTAAATATAGATCATATTATTTCATATCATACCACATGACTATACAATAATGCTAGATTTTACTTGAATATTAGTAAGTATTCTCGCACATTTAGATTGTCACATAGAGGTTGCACATCTTCCTGTTGCGCAACGAGACATTCTGGATCCATGCGGGTGGATCTAGCGTGGTTGTGTCCACGTCTGGCTCCTCCATTTCTTCAATCCTGCAGTAGATGTCTACGCGATCGGCGCGTTTGCTCCAGCGTACCATGAACCTGCGTGAATAAGACTTTTTTGCACGTATTCCCGAACCTCGAAATCCCAAGTCGTTCGTTTTTGTTTGTTTTACGATAACAAACATTATGTTAAACACACATTTATCAAAATTTCGAGTAATCAAAATGTCCCAACGGAGTTTCAACGTCGTGTGCTATATCTATCGGTTGCTCACCTGGTTGGGCGTATTTTCCGCAAATTGGTCGAGCCGTGTGAGAATACAACACATTATAGATTACGTAGGCGACAGCGACCACGATCACGAGTTGTAATACCATGTCGCGAGCTTTTCTCAGTTTGCACTGGGAACACCGAACAATCTCCGATTCTTTTACTAGTTTACCGCGCGATGCATGTTGGACTACTGCTGTGACATCCTGTCATGTGTGGGCAAAGTGCACCGTAAGCATTTATGTGTATGTATTATGTAGCATGACCAATTGCAACTGGTTCTGAACCGACCAGGCCTGACTAATGGAGTTAGTGAGGCAGGAGAGAGTGAGAAATAAAGAGAGCAAGTGGGAGAAATAAAGGGGGCGAGCTAAGGAGGAGCCAGAGTCGTGCTTGGATGAGGCGACATACGTGTCGTTCTGCTGTATACCGAATAAAAGCTATCTTGTTATATAGACACACACACTCTCTTCTCTCCTCTCTCTCTCTCTCTCTTCTCTCTCTCTCTATACTCTCTCTCTCTCTTCTCACTCTTTCTCTCTTCTCCTCGTCGTCGTCTCTCTCTCCTCTCACACACACACACACACCACACACACACACACACACACCACACAACACACACACACACACACCCCGCACAGGGTGTGCTAACATAGGCTCTTATAGCCGTATACCGCGGAGCCATCTTTTAGCTAACCTATATACGTTTATACGTGATAAACGTTGCGTTATTTCAAATTACATGATCGTGATCTCTATTTATCTAATGCGCTGATAAAAGTATGCATCAGTTTATGCGCAGAAACAAATTATTAAACTTTCAAACGCCTTACCCGAGACGAATGACCGCTGGTAGCTATCGTGCATGTGTTTCCCAACGCGACGAGTTCACTCTGAACGAATGGAATGCATTCTAATATCAAGTTTCTTAATTATAGATGAGTTTGTCGATCCACTAGGAACGTTCGATCCAGCCTATATATCCAATAATTCTATGCGCAATTAATGTTAATAAAAAAATAGAAAAATTGTGTCCTCAAATATAAGCGATCGACGGGTGAGCCAGACGTCTGATGGTTTCAGATAACGAACAGCTAGTATATATTAGCTAACAGCTCTTAACTGTTAAGCAAGCAAGAAGCCATGTTAGTTATTAGTGTTATTATGTCTATTAAGGCATCACTTTAAATTTCCCATACACGCGTGTTGGGGTACGTCCCTTTCATCATTGTACCAACAAGGCACGGAAGCTGACACGCTTTCTACGAGGAGATAAACTTGACGTTAATAACTCTCAGTAGACAATTTATTTTTCTTGCGCTAATCACGAGTTCATTTATCTACTTTGTTTGTTGCGCTTGGATTAAAGATGTTCGTATGATCAGTGATCTCTTGCCGACTAGCTGTTCCGGTATAATTTCCTATGTAAGGTACGTTAAAACTAATTAAATATAAGCTGACACACTCGCGTTTCCACTGGGCGACAGCTTTATTGTTTAGTAATTATTCGTTGTGTTTTTATGAATTTGTCATCGTCGTGCACTGCTGGATTTTGTGGTTACCTAAACGACATATTTTCAATGAAGACATTTTCCATTTCTGATGCATTTGTTGATTGTCTTAGTTAGTTTGTACGACTAGTTTGCTTAGATAATATTATATATATACTACATGATCACGACACATGGAGAGGCCTTCTCCCGTGTCCTGTTGACATATCGAGGTCAGAAATCGAGTTCTAAGGAATACGAATATAGCGAGTAGTTAAGGATATCACGATTGAGTGGATATGCAGCGGGAATCGCCACGCCAAAACAACCTGGTATATGGGTGAAAAGTTATAATGTAAAGCAAACATATATACGTACACTAAAGTAGCCAAATTGTATTACCAAGATAGCTATATACAATTAATGAGAACACAAAGTCAGGGGTAAAATGTTGCGTTAAATCATATTTTATAACCGGAAACATATAGTGAATACAGATCAGAGGCCGTTGAGACAGTCACTGCATGACTTCACTGTCCACGAATTTTTCAGTCCGGAACGTTTAACCGTAGTAAAATTATCTTTTCCGGTAAACGGTCTTTTTAAGCACGTGGTACGACACATTGTCACAGACGCACGCACGCGCGCGCGCGCGCACACACACACACACACACACACACACACACACACTTTGAACTCTAGCACGGCATTCACATACGCGTGCAAAACCAAGCAAATGACAACAAGGACGTACAACGAGCCTGACTATATATAGACACAGGTTATACCTCTTATACGCAACAGCCTGCTGTGTGAATGATGATGCCCAACATTTTACAATGGCATTGCAAATCTGCAAAGATGAAAAATAGTATTCAATTACTGTTTTGTAGTTCTACGACAAAAGATGTCGACATGCTGCGAGATATATTTCGATATATTTTTAGACCATTTGCTCATGCTGCATATTTGTACCTATATAACTTGTATAGCATAGATGTGATCATGATACCATGAAAGGATTTTATCTTGTGATTGGCCAATTGCAAAGGTTTCGTCATTCCCTATGTTAAATGCTGCATTTCAAAACATCTCTTACGGTGCAGATTTAGTCCTAACCTCTTTAATGCCAATGACACCAAGGAAGGTCTCCATCTGTCCAGCGAATGATGCTTCCCCGCCATCTTCCCCTAAAAATTATTACTTTATTAAAGATTATTACATCATACAGTTGTATTAAGCGTTAAAGCATATATTACCAAATAGGCGCGAGTTAATTCTGATTGGTTAGCGTTAACAATCATATAGTTACATTTTTACAACTGATTTTGAATCCTTCAATAATTACCTATAAAATAATCTCCTAATGTGCATAGAATTTGCATGCAAGAACGTTAGCACTAACACTAGGATTATGGACATACCACGAGGATTACATAATGATATAATTTATATGCTATAGATCAAACTAGTTTTTAAATTAAAATTCAATGTGGACTGTCATACAATATTGACATCAGCTCCTACCAACAGCAGATGATCGTACAGCAAACGTCTTCTCGCTCCATTCATCGCCAAACAGCTCTGACAGTTGTTTCAACACTGCCCGTTCCAACCCCGGAGTCAGCTTAGTGTTGTTAAAGCTTTCAACAATGGTCTTGGACATCTCGTGAATATCACCTTCTTTTCGTTTACTGGAAAAGAGTTAGCGGCATTTAACGTTGTTTGTATTAATGCAATATCATATATAAAATGAAACAATAGATAACGGACGATGGAACACGTTATGAATTACTTTGTATGTTGTTACTTAATAAAGCGCAATTTTTTACATCTTTCAGTTATGTCTGTTCTGTGGCAAATTTATGGTAAATAATAACAGCGATAAAATAATCTCAGGTAATAATAATTTGAGATTATTTATTCCTGGTTATAATACATACTATGCAACATTTTCCAGTTCTTCAACTGCGTCACGTAGATGTTTGTTATCTTTCAGATGGTGCCTGTATGCGGCTACCGTCAGGCAGAAGCCCCTCGGAACTATGAACTGAACATAACGTGAAGTGTTACGCTAGTATGAACACTATTGTTACAGGTTTATTTACTTGCATTGTCGGCATTGTACAAACTATTGAGCGTCTGGCTCTTTGCAGAACTTGCTGGTGAACTGACTGAGAAACTTTTAAACAGGGACAACGTGAGCGTGTAAACATGATACCAACATGTACCTTGCCATCTAGCTGAGTCAGAAGAGCCAACTGCGTTCCCTTACCACCAACCAGCTGAGATGAAGCGCAGGCAGGTTTAGTGAACTCCAGTGTCAGGTCACAAGGTCGATTTATGTCGTACGCTTGAAAATGTAGAACACAATAAACAGACATACAAAAGCATACACCTCGTCGACACCAAATGTAAAATCTAAATAATTTGGCTTGCTTAATGCTTCTTATGTTCGATATGTCCGAAGTCTGACCGGCAGCTCCTGCATGATTAGACGCTTCTACTTAAACATAAACAAACTCCGCTATGACCACTCACTCTGTTCGAATACAAAGGCAAATAACCAGCCGTCAAGTACATTCACACCTCTAGAAAAAAAGACATGAAGTATAATACCTGGTTCTTTTAGCAACGGGACTGACTTTTGAAGCGGTACTGGACAGAGTCCATTGTGCCTGAAAGAGATTTTTTTTTAAAAGATCACATCTGAGGACTAATAATTCTTAACGAGATGTCTATAATGGTGTATATATTTTGCCAATTATTTAAGCCAACATCGTATACCAGAGTAATCATCGTGAATGATAAATGATAGAACAACAAGATACGAGACCTGTACATATACTCGGTGAAGCCCCAGCCACGGACTCCATTCATCGTTACGTCAGTGAATTGTTTGTGGATCTTAACACTCCACCTTTTTCTTGAGTAGACAATCTGCTCCTGTTTCTTCTCAACCCAAAAAGCACACTGGAGGTGACCTGTGGGAATAATTTAAATAATTTTTAACGTCAGCATAAAAGATGGATTGATGGATGGATGGATGGATGGATGGATGGATGGATGGATGGATGGATGGATTGATGGATGGATGGATGGATGGATGGATGGATGGATGGATGGATGGATGGATGGATGGATGGATGGATGGATGGATGGATGGATGGATGGATGGATTTATATATATATTATACATAACATACTTTTTGATGGCGCCAATGGGAACCTTAATGTTCTCGATAGCTTCGTCTTCTGTCGTGTACAATTTTCTTTTCTTCATCTCGTTGGGTGACTTTGTCATATCCTTGGTTACACGCATGTGTGAAATTAAAGTAATATATTTGCATAATGGTAATGCATATATGTTATTAGATTTCATGTTGGAATGCTAATCAGAATACTACGGTTACAACTATTTTGGCTTACATCCCATTTTTCCTTAATGAAATGCATGTTTATTACGTATGGTTTTATATGACGTTTATAATACACGTTTTTAACATAATTCATCTTTAAATGAAACTTTAACGCATTATATAACTAATTTACCTGTATTGTTTTGACAACCTTTGTTGGCTCCATTCTCCATGGTTTTTCCCAGAGTTCCGACTATGTCAAAATAGAGCATTCAAATTACGGATGAATTCAGCATATGACAAATGAGGAAATAGAACAACCCGACAGAATGTATGCTTGCTGTAACGTGTTTCTAAGTCGTCAAAAGACGTCTTTTAGTTCATAGAGCCCTAATATTAATATGGAAAATATACCTTTAGCGTTGCTAATATGTTGCACTGATGCAATTATTTGCAACTACGGCGGAATTCAATTTGTGAAGCCAGTTGTAGCAAACAACGTCATTAATTTCGAACAATACATTTATAAGACTTGTTGTGAAATTTCTTGCACTAAGGTGCTATCATGACTGCAGTTATACCAAGCTTACCTCGCGCACGCATCTGTGTCCATGCGTCTCTATAAATTTTGCAAACTCATTCTTCAGCTCTCCGCTGTCATCTGTCTGTAGCCACTGGGCTGCCTCCTTTGCTGACAATGACTGAAAGAACTCGGCTTTACCGCTGTCAATCACCGTTAACGCGATTTTCCTGAGAGCATCTGGCACGTCAGCACTCAGTACGTCTGGGCAGGTTGATAGGACGTTGGCAACTTCAGACATTAGGATGGCGTGATCTGAAATATATATTTACACAGATTGGTTTCTCGTGCAGGGATGATTCTAATCAGCGAAAGTCTGTCACTGGTGGAGAACATTGACAGCATTTAAGTTTTCGCGTTAATTTGTTTCATGTGTTTGAAAACTACACGTCACGTGGATGGATTAACTGCAATAAAAGCTATTCTATTCATAAACTGCTTACCTCCGCGTTATATTACAACCACACGAAATAGTACAAAGGTGTGACGCTTGGATTTTTTGGAATTGCTTTTTTTACGTAAGCGTTTAAGTTGTGCCCATTATATGCAATTTTTGGTACTTTCTTAATAACTAACAATGTAAATGTAAGAATAATCAGCTACCTCTGTATTATTAGATGTAATTTATTATTATGAAGGGGAACGATTTTCATACTATTTAAACGTGTAAGGGTGAGATAACACTTATGTAGAGTAAATGTGTCAGTTTGGTTAGCTTTCCTGCAAATAAAATGTGGTAAATCAATAAATGAATACGCGGTAAAAACGCGAAAATCCCAGCGCAAGGCGGTAGGTGCATTGTTAACACCGGCAGCGTTGAACGTGTTAATAACTAACAATGTAAATTTAATCAATTAAGTAAATTGTAAGAATAATCAGCTAGCTCTGTATTATTAGATGCATTAGGGGATACCTGACACATTTTTGCAATTGTTTGCAACAATTACGATTACTAAATTCCAGGGTATTGTTTGGTTAGCGACATATAACTTACCTTGTCTTCGACCAGTGTCCAAAATGTGTTGGATTATGGCACTGGCCATATTGGATGCCATTGAAGCTTGCAAGTGGCAGTACCATGCCTAAATGATAATGATTAAAACCATTTCGTAGGATAACGTGTAATTAAATGTATGTGTGCTAATGTTAATATTGTGTATTGTGTAGGTTCACAGTGGGTTAAATGACCAGAGGATATATAAACGGGAACTAGACGTAACTGATCACGAGTTAAATCCTTCCAGAGCAACGTACGTCATGTATTGAAACGAATAACAGCAGCTGATATAATGCTTAATAATATTATATTCTACGAAACCGGGTTATTGTCATACACGTAGCAATACCGATAAGTCACACATGCATATTTGGATGATCGTTTCATATATATTTGTAGTGGGGAATTGTATTCATCGTGAGAGATTCATACAGCGAATACGTATATTGTACTTCTATAAACCTCCGGATACACAAAAAGATGGACCCAGCTAGAGGGGCTCCAGACGTCCAGGAACCCCTCGTTGTGACTTCAAGCCAGATTTTATCGTTATGTGGTAAAACACATCCGTGAAATCAGCCCCTCAATCCCACTTCTGCATTTACATGGGCCCTAGCTCCCACTTAGCATTACTGCACCCGCTTTCCGGAGCAGGCGAAGTAAGCGCCAGTTAGTTTAATCAAGAGATTTTCTCCCACATGGTGCTTATAACGTGGTTCATTTTACGATGACACTATCCTGCAATTTGGCGAGAGGAATATGATTGATTACATTCGAACATTAATATTCTGCTCGACGTAAAAACAGAATCGACGTAGATTACTATAAAAATGTACATACCTCGCTACTCGTCTGGATGAGTTTATCAAGTTGTTGATACAGCATTCGTATGTCTGTGGTACTGAAGTCTGTGTTCGCCGATTTGACTACGGTATTACCTTGCTGAATGTAGTGCTTTCCTCTAAGCGCATACTATAAAGAAGAAGTAGTGCATTGCAGATTCGAGTGCTGTGCGCCCATTATATATGGCGGTATGCTAATTTGACTGTTTAACATTTACGGGACAAATCTACAAAACAAGGTAATAGCGTCCGGACAGCGAGGCCGCACACTACAATAGCCGCTTGGCTGCTGTGTACTTACTATGTTCATCTGCAGGGTTCCCATAATTTTCTGGTACAACGGGACACGAATATTTCTGTAACGGGCATGGATCGTGTCTAAATTTTCATTTCCCAGCGGTTTTCCATACAGCAGGATCTCAAATTCAACCTTTTGCTTTTCTGTGTCGAATAATGTCGTGTATTCATTCATGTAATACATACCCTAGATAAAAACAATTTGGTAAATATTGATTTCTGCATAATCATAGATGATTAGTGAAGCCCGTTATCATATGAAAGTAATATCTAGAAGTTGGTGGTATGTAGGCCTATCGAATGTTCTTCTAACCAACTAAAATAATTAATGACTGTTAATAAGAGATTCGTAACACGTTCAGTGTTAAAGTCCAATCCAAAATTAGTATGTATAGAACAGTTCATTATTTACACGGAGTAAGAAACTAGCTTGGTATGTAGGGTGCACAAGGCTGATACCTGTTTTTCTTTCGCAACAATTGCCTTGCAAATTACATAGTCGCTTTTCGACACGCTAATTGATATGGTAGGTTTTGCAATAACATTAAGAAGCGGTAATTTTCGTTTTGAACAATCAAACTGTGTATAATGTTAACTCACGTTATACATGTTAAAAATGAAGTGTTTGCAGAATGTTGATCCGAGTAATTCTGCGTAGGTGTTTTGGACTGCTTTGCTGCCCAACAGTTCGACTCGCAGGACCTATAAGAAGTGAGCGCACACATGAAACCAGTATACGCGCGCGTGTGTGTGTGTGTGTGTATGTGTGTGTGTGTGTGTGTGTGTGTGTGTGTGTGTGTTGTGTGTGTGTGTGTGTGTGTGTGTGTGTGTGTGTGTGTGTGTGTGTGTGTGTATAGCGCGCGCGTTTACTACTAAACACTACTAATTTTGCTAGAATTACGATCACAAACAGCGATTATGTGAAGGCTCACCAAGATTTGCGTAAACATTCGAAGAAAGAGGCATTCCATGGTTCTCTAGCAACAGCATCAGAGAGCACGGATGGATCGTTGTCGTTGTTAAACGAAAACCTTCCCGTCAGAGCCGTCCACCTACCAACCAACGTCATGATTATGCTCGTACGTACTGGTCCCAATTGACTATACTCTATACACTAGCGTGTCTAGAAGTTGTGTTCATTAGGGTGACCATGACTCCGTTTTGGAATCAATGGCAAAAAAACGAGTGAAGAAATCTGCAGCGAAGTAGAGATTTATGAGCATTTAGGCCGCTATTTTAATTATTGTTTCTCAAATTTTGTGACTTTTTAAAAGAAGCCGGTTAATCGTCGTAGAAGCACTACAATGCTACGATGCCCGTGGATTTGCTTCATTCGCTACTTGCTTTAGCCCTTCCGATATTCCTGGATCCGCTATTGCATCTGTTTGAACTTCGTATGCACGTGCATGATTATGGCACGCTATAATTATTCATTGAAGTTTTGCTGGTTGCATATTTTTTATATCGGGATATTTTTATAGACGAACTTGCTGATTCATGTGCAAGGGTTCGACTCGTTGTAATTAATGCATGGTCCAACCACATTACATGCAAGGTCTTCTTCCTATTTCTTAACAGAGGTATACTGATAAAATGTTATCATGTAGATCTATGCTAGAATACCTCCTCTCCATTTTAAATGCATAATTTTCGCAAAATATTCTTCTTCTCGGGAGATATTGCGCATGCGCGAGCACCGTTTCCGGCGTGATAGCGGTAGAAAAAGAAGCTAGGGCGCTTTTCTAAGTATAAACACAGGCCTACTGATAACAATTTATTGCAATAATCTATACAAAGATACCCCCTAACCATATTAAATGCATATTCATAACAAAATATAGCTCCTCTGGTGAGATATTGCACATGCGTTAACACACTAACGTAGACAGATTGTGTACTGAATTGTGTATGCAGCAGGCACCCTACATAAACGGTCTTCTTCCTATTTCTTAACAGCGGTATACTGATCGAATGTTATCATATAAATCTATGGTAGAATACCTCCTCTTCATTTTAAATGCACAATTTTTGTAAAAGAATCCTCTTCTCTGGAAATATTGCGCATGCGCAAGCATCGTTTCGGTCGTGCAGTACAGACTGAAGAAAACTGCATAATATAGCTTGCTGTGTGAGAAAGAGACAGGTGGGCATCTGAGCAAATGCGGCAGGGAAGATAGTTGGGGTCGGCAAAAAAAGAAGGAGGCTGAGCGAAGGACAGGAGAGGCAAGGGGAATGAAGAGAGGGGATGAAGTAGGAGAATTTGCACTCAGCAGGCTAGGGCGTTTTTCTAAGTATAAACACAGGCCTACTGATAACAATTTATTACAGAAATCTATACCAAGATACCCCCTAACCATATTAAATGCATATTCATAACAAAATATAGCTCTTCTGATGAGATACTGCGCATGCACTAACACCCTAACGTAGCCAGATTGTGTACTGAACTGAATATGCAGCAGGCACCCTACATGAAAGATCTTCTTCCTATTTCTTAAGTGAGGTATACTGATGGAATGTTATCGTGTAAATCCATGCTAGCACACCTCCTCTACATTTTAAATGCATAATTTTCGCAAACATTATTCTTCTCGGGAGATATTGCGCATGCGCGAGCACCGTTTCAGGCGTGCAGTACGGACTGAAGAAAACTGTATAGCTTGCTGAGAGTGAGAGAGGGAGAGGGGTGTGAATCTGAGGAAAGGCGGCACGGGAGATAGCGGGGGCGGTAGAAAAAGTTGGAGGCAGAGCGAGGGACAAGAGAGGCGAGGGGAAGGACGGAAGGGGATGTAGTAGGAGTTTTGCATCCTACAGGTTCGGGCGTACTCCCAATAATAAACGCAAGTCTACTGATAACAATTTATTACATATATCTATGCTAAGATACCCCCTAACCATATTAAATGCATATTCATAACAAAATCTAGCTACTCTGGTGAGATATTGCACATGCGTTAACACACTAACGTAGCCAGATTGTGTACTGAATTGAATATGCAGCAGGCACCCTACATGAAAGATCTTCTTCCTATTTCCTAAGAAAAGGATACTGATAGAATGTTATCGTGTAAATCCACGCTAGAATACATCATCTACATTTTAAATACATAATTTTCGCAAAATATTCTTCTTCTCGGGAGATATTGCGCATGCGTGAGCACCGTTTCAGGCGTGCAGTATGGATTAAAGAAAACTGCATAACATAGCTTGCTTAGAGAGAGAGGGTGGGAGACTGAGGAAAGGCGGCAAGGAATATAGCTAAGAAGCGGTAGAAGAAGGCTGACCGAGTGAAACGGGAGGCGAGGGGAAGGACGGGAGGGGATATAGTAGGAGTTTTGCACCCTACAGGCTAGGGCGCTCTCCTAATTATAAACAGAGGTGTACTGACAACGATTTGTTACATACATCTCTGCTTGGAAACCCACTCTCTCTCTCTCTCTCTCTCTCTCTCTCTTTTAAATGCATACCTGTAAACGCTGAGGCACCTCATAATTGTTTAATCGAATTTGCCGGTTTAATACTGTATATAGATAGTTGTTTCTAATCATTGGTACATTTCTTTAGTGCAAAAGCTCGATTCGTGTTTACGTGATATGAATCTACAGTACATGTCCCTGCCAGCACCGTATGAAGGTAGCATGCAGGCTTTGTGCTCACGTCTTTAACAATAATTCGTTTTATCAGGGTAAGGTTCACTGTCGGTGTGTTGGGTTACCAGGAGAACACATACGTTTGCAATAAGGAAAACCAAGGAACCCTAACAGTCGTGGCGCGTGGTTCATATCGGTGGATGAGTCGTAAGGACAGCGTCCCTCGTTGACCACATTTACGTTGGCTTATTATAAGTTTAATGCAAATTTTCACAAATTAATAAAAACCCATAGTTACACGGTTATGAATCACTTTCAGCTCGCATTGCCGTCTTTATTTTGATATACGTGCGTAGAAAGAGAATTACTTCTCACCTTAGGGGAAGGAGGACTCGCATAGGGCAGTATGTAAATAAAATAAAATTCATATTTGTTTGCAAGGTAAATTATAAGCATAATATTGAGCAGCATTTAACGCTAGGTATGAGCACGGTAGATGGACATTTATTGTAAATGACAGTACGTCAATAAGTAGGTAATTTCATACTCCTACTGGTAGGAATTTAGGCTGACTCGGAGCATTCGTAAGCACGTGATCAGATGCAATTAATAAAATTGTACAATATATATATATATATATATTATGCTAGCCGCCTATGAATAGATGGATAGATTGATGAATGGATGGATGGATGGATAGATGGATGGATGAATGGATGAATGGTTGGATGGTGGATGAATTCATATATAACTTCACCAGCAATTGCATTAAAGCATAACTTGTCCGAAGGCGGTGTAATCTCCCCATGTAGAGATAAGTGCAGGTCAGTTGATTTCAGTGTACGTGTCTGTCCGCAGGGCAAAATCACATATCCGCAGACGATACTGAAAATACGACGACAAAGGAAAAAATATAATTATGTTGAAACATTCGTTTGCATTCGTTATGTTTTTTTGTAACGTGTATCGGTAACGCTTGGAATCAATACAGTTACGATGTCATCGATATTATGATTTCCATAACTTATCAAAATGACGTGGCCAAGCATTTCAGTCACTATAATAATTATATTGTATCGCTTCTTTATTATGTAGTTTAACCTTTTCCACAACGTAGTTACAGATCGGTCTGTTACTGAGTGTAGCGTTATACGTACTGAGAGAGAAACGAAGCAATACTTGTTGCCGAAAACGAGAAAAAAGTTCCATCCTATTGAACGAAAATAATAGAAATATCAATGTTAGCATCTTTCCTTCATAATTAGTTTATATTTGGTAGCAAAGACACTTGTGATGAAAAGTTTTTTTCCACATTTGTACATTTTTACAGTTAGGAGAATGACAGGTAGAAAATAAGCAATGTTTTTCCAATGATACTACAGTATATACTCGTGGTTAAGCTTGTGAGTTTCGATGATCACATTGTTAAACATTTTTAAATGAACCTAATACCGTGATTTGATTATTATGTATCGTCGTTATTATAACAGCTGGTGCTCTCAGCAGGTGCAGGTTGGCACTGGCCGTTAATCCACGTCAGCTAAACGAATAATAATTATCTAAATTATCTAACCTCCAGATATCCACAGTGTGACATGTATCTGTTGTAGGTTGTCCAGTCGCAAATGCCCCAGGAGTGTTGTCTGACGCCTCTTAGCAGCAATGTCCTCTCTGGTTCTATTGCGACAGTCAGTTTACCAAACAGCTGACCACAGACCTCATACCTCTGATGTTCCTCACTGTAAATAGTACATCTGCATTTATATTACACATGTGTTGAAATTACTTCGAATTTTTGTTATGGCACACATGAGTATAAGGCTATTAATTCGAATATAGAAAAGAAAATCATGATTTCTCCTAACTTCATAACTGCAAAATTCTCAATCTTCATTTTTTATTTAGCAAATGAGAGTCCTAGAGTCACTTGAGTCCTAGTCCTTTGAGCGCACCTAGATTTGCGTAAACGATTGAAGAAGGAGGTATTCCACTGTTCTCTAGCAATAGCATCGGAAACCACGGATGGATCGTTGTCGTAATTCAAGGAAACCCGTTCCGTCAGAGCCGTCCACCTACCGACCAACGTCATGATTATGCATGCGCGTAATGTCAAGAGCTTTGTATGCTATAAGTGATGTTCGCTATTTTCATTTTTTCATTAACGCATTTCCAGACAAAACTGGCTTGTTTGCATGCAACATGGGTGGGAATACATGTTCAAGAAGACACGTTCCATTACGTACATTGTTTGAAAGATCTATAAAGAATTATTTTACTCCGAGGACAGCTTCGTGATCGGAAAATATGGTTACAATGAGTAGACAAATGTCGGTAATAAAATCCCGGGGAAATCTGCCAAAGGTTGCACGTGGCTCGCAATTGTGTTATGACCACGATCCTGTGACTTTTTGATCACATACAGGCTTATAAGATCGATTGATAAATGTATCATGGGCTGACGTGTTTATTATCAAGAGCTAATAATACCTTTATTAGTAGCTCTAGTTTTATTAGGTATTATTAGCTCTTGTTATTATATATAGACATGTCTATAGTTGGTAAGGTTTAATACTACCAAGAGCAGATAAAGAATCTGCCTTAGAATCTGCCAAAGAAGAACCTTCTTTATCTGCTCTTGATACTACGTATGACCATTGCATATAAAAGCGTGTTATAATTTTACAGCCAGTACGGTGATGGATAGGAATTTTTTCAAGCTAGTACTTGATTGCTCACTTCGCATACTTTAGCATGTGTGAATATTAGATGTGTATGAATTTTTTTGCTCGTACACTAGGCCAGCAGAGCCTGCTTTGTGATGGGAGTCATTGCACTTAGTCATATATATTCAATTTATCGATATAGTACTTACACGAAAGCAAACTCTACATGGACTAGTTTTCCTTCATCGTCCGCGTCCCACTCGTTTCTCTGTCCCTGTCTATAAAAATTTCCAGTTTGTACACATGTGTTCCGACCTTCACAGTAACACTAACCCGTCTGCCTTGTCTCGTTCCCTCATGCGAAATTCCTCTATATAACTCATATAGAGGAATATATATATATATATATATATAGTAGTCTCCGCTTTATCGTGCCTCAGATAATAGGGAACATCTTCTAAAAAAAGTCAAGCTTTCTCGGCATGTCTGAAAAGCAATCCTTACGCACAATGTGTTCACTGCGTATAGCACGACCACACTTAAACAAATAATAAAATGATACTGTACCATGAATTTTGGGTAGCATGAACAGAATTTATTTATATATAGTTGGACATTGAGGTTTACCGTGTGATAGAAGACCTCCCATCTCTGTGCACAGACCGGACACGAGAGGGAAGTAAGGTGACCAACCAATGTCCGTGTACGGCACTATTAATATCTCTCCTTGCTATAAAACAAACGGACAGTTAATATTAGGGGCTGACCATCCCGGATTGCAATTTAAATACGTATTTTGAATATATATTGCGCAAAATTTTCTAGCCAACAGCACGCCCCGATCCAAGCGGCGAGAAATGCCCGCTCCGTCGCGTGCCCACATATAATGGCTAATAATTGAATATTGGGAGCATGCTTGCTGCTTTTGTCCTGGGGGTGGACACAGTATAGCGTAACAGACAAATTCATTCAAATTCGGTAAGTGCTCCCGGTGTGGTCCCTATTTGATATAGGAACATCAGTGTCATTATGCGTGGATAAAATATCGTCATTTCCATTTTCCATCATCCATTCCAACTTCTTCATCTAAATACCTGTATAGTGTCTGCCTCCTCCAGCGTTCGAACTATCCTGCATTTGGCCCTGACAACACCATGGCTAACAGGCATCCCTGCAAATAAATGATATGTGTGTGTGGAAAAAAAACGTGCACATATTACGCTTAATACCGGATCTTTTTTTGCGTATGCTTAATTTTTTTGTAGCAGACATGCATCAATCTAATATTACTGATTTCATGACTATTTTATATTTAAATAAATCATGCAAACGGTTTACATTTTTGTAGAATTGCGGGAACGTAATGCTATACCGATAATGATGAGTGAAGACGAGGAGAAAAAAACATGTCAAGAGACGGAAGGATTATATGTAAGAATAGAGGAATAGAGTGTAAAGAAAAAGGTTGCGATAATAGAATAACACCCCACACGTATACAGACACGCGCGTACGCTAACATGTGCAAGTATGCATGTAGGTGCGCCTATATATATATATATATATATATATATATATATATATATATAATATATATATATATATATATTATGCTAGCCGCCTATNTATATATATATATATATATATATAAAATATATATATATATATGATACACAATGTCACACTATACGTGTGTGAGCGTGCGTGCGTGCGTGCGTGCGTGCGTGCGTGCGTGCGTGTGTATAATCCATTGATTTCAATCAAGCTCGTCGGATTTGCGCATATTAGCATAGGCATATTTTTGGTAATCCTGCGTTATTTTATTCAATCTCATACATCATGAATTGATTTTGCGGTAATTCTATGATGATACATCATTGGCCCCGCTGCTGGTCGGTTGAGAGATCTTTGCGATTGTACCCAGGGTTCCGTTCAGAATCACCTCCTCACCTTTAACGTATAAACACGTAACATACAGATAACGCAACCGCACAGAGTTAACACTGCATGCGCCGTGACGATAAGTTTTTTTTAAATAAAAGAAGTACACGTTAATAAATGCACAAAATTTGTAGTAATGATTGCACATTTTAGATGCCTGTTTTTAGGCATGTATTTAGGCATGTATTTTAGGCATGTTTTTAGGCATGTATCTGAACATTAACTCAATCTAATTAATTTCATTTAATTTTTCACAATTGCTTCATAGATTTATTATATTCAATTAAACACGCAGAATAATACATACCTGTCTTGAAGACATACGTCGCTTTCTTCGCTGNACGCACGCACACACGCACACACGCACACACGCACACACACACACACGCACGCACGCACACACAAATACACCCACCCACCCACACACACACACGCACACGCACACGCACGCACGCACGCACGCGCGTATGAATGTCAGTAGACGACAGCGCGTACGAACACACTCCGGAGTCCGGACGCGCGCATATGCACACAAATATGCACGCACGCGTATACACCATTTTACAAAATGACTTCATTCAATGAATATTGATCATAATACCTCAGACGACCGTTGAATGTGAGCCTACACCTGGCCAGCGGTTCTAAAACCTCGAACTTCAATCCTCCCGCAGTGAATGTTTGTCCATCGGTGTTATACACAGTTGTATCAGGAAACCCGGGAAAGTGGAAGTAACGGCCATCTTCTAGCTTCAACATCAACCACACCTGTAGCATATATTTAAAGGGAAACTGAAAGCTTTCAAACTTCAATCGAGGTGTTCTAAGAAACCAAGAACTGTTT